TATATGCTGTGAAATGAGAACTCTAAAAAACACTTGCTACACTTAATACTAGAGGAAGACAAATATTTTTAAGCATTATTTTATTGCGTGATCTTTTTAATGAAAACCACCATTACGACGCATTTTTTCAATGGTTCTTTTAATAACCTAAAGCCACATCAGTCAAAACCTATACTGATTTTATATGGTAATCTTGATTTACAGAGAGAAAGAGAGAGAGAGAGAGAGAGAGAGAGAGAGGGGGAATAGGGGGGGGGGCTGGGGATATTCATCACGTATTCAATGTGCTGATAAATCTGATCGTCGACCTGACATAATTATTTTTTAATAATAATAATAATCTTTTAGTCCACTCCAAATTTTATTAAACCGAAACATTACAGTACGACGAAAGAATGTGACCCTTGAAAGAGTCTAAGAAATAAATAGAGAATAGGACAGAATAATAATATAGCTTAGAGAGAGAGAGAGAGAGAGAGAAAGAAAGAAGGAAAGAGAGAGAGAGAACATTTTTAAAATCAGTTTCATATTATTTATTTTGTTATTTATATTTTGCATAAACTAGATACAACACTTTAATGATTCTTCATGAATACAAATCTCAGGGCGGAGAGATTTACCAGTTGAAACGCTCAATTCTCAGGTTAAGGACCACAACATTGAGGATTTCAGAACAGGCTTATACAAAATACGGGTTGAAATGCTGGCAACGTTTTATATTCATTACGATATATTGTATAGAAAAGTGTTATGAAAGCAATTAATTAGGGTTAAAGGGTTTTAAACGCATTTAAGTTTTATTCCATGTTCGCTATCTTCAAAGTAATGAAGCCCATGATTCACAGGCTGAAGTATAAACACTTATAAGATATGAGTAATAAGTTGATAAACATACTCAGGATAATGATTATCATGATCTTATTAAAATGATCACGTATATCGTCTACAAACAAATGTGTCTTCAATAAAGTTTTTCAAAGATAATGGATATTGCATGGATAAGAGCCAAGCTAAGGTTAGATCTGAAGTAGGACATACTATTCTTTTAAAATATTACGGCCTCGTCTTATAAAGAGTTGCGATTGATTCGAATTAATAGCAACTTGAAATGAAGTGCAACTCCTATCTCATAACTCATAAGTGCACAGTGATTGACTTGAATCAATCGCAACTATTTATCATACAGTGGGAGGGAGGGGGGCACGACCAGAATGTATGCACTGTTGAAAATACCAAGTAAACGACCAAATTGTGAAAATAATCACAGGATGTCGCCTTGTTGTAGATTTTCCATGGTTGCCTTCATGCATGGTAGATTGGCTGTGTTATGTTCATAATGACTTCAATGTATTCAAGGAGTCTAACAGCAGCGAGTGTTTAGGTCAGGTTGCGCCGCCCTTCCTCATCAGGGCAATCCCTCGCCCCGTACGGCGCACGGTGTACGCGCGCGGGGATGGCAATTTTGGATGGCGCTTTGGGCCGCGTTTCCACGTCTCGCGGGACTAGGGGCCCGCCGCCCCTGTTAGCATAAATATTTCATTGCCCCGTAAGACAAGCCTAGCTTGTCGTCGTCGCTCGCTCACTCCCTCCCGACCAACTCCCTTCTCCCCTTTTCTCAACTTCAACTTCTAAGTACGACTCTAAAAACGCAAGCTTTTTCTCCGACCCAAACGATTGTAAGCGAGGCAGTAGTAACATACGTGATGCATATCCCACGCCTCCTGCTCATGCATTTATGAACAAGGGCGCACAAAAATGAAGACAGAATTCAAGATTTCTTTGTCATGGAGGTCTACCCAAAGAGAATGAAACACGAAAGACGTTAAGATAGAAAGCTGAAGATGGAGGTATATAGGTGGAGTGCGAAATGGTGAGGGTAATGGTAGGGTGGATCACTAGGGAGGGGGAGAAAACTGTGAATATTCATATTGGAAAATTATTTATACCTTGAATTCAAACCCAAGATAAATATATGTAATGCAGCCATGGCCGAATTGCCAAGTATGTCATTTCAATTTATGCTACATCCTATCCTACCCGCCTTTTCTTAGTCTGCTAGCCAATCAAAGCCGTACTGATTTTGTTTATTGCTTACATTAATTGGAACATTTATTACTTTGAATGTTTCAATTAATAATTTCCTATTTTGAAACGTGGTCCTAAAATGCAACTTAGAAACGAATGCCCAATTGCCCATAAGTCGAACAATCATCCCTCGGTTTTAATATCAGCCAGGCGTATGAATATCTTCATGTTCATCAACCAATAGAGGGCTTTTCAATATCGTATTAGAGGAAAGTACATTTTTCATAACCATGATTCTTAGTCACTTATCTACTTTTACTGTTCAAATCATGACTTCATAATTCATATAAAGATATCATGATGATCAATCTGCATGATGCAGTTACGTGATTTGTTGCACCTCTCATTCTCTCTCTCTCTCTCTCTCTCTCTCTCTCTCTCTCTCTCTCTCACACACACACACACACACATACAAACACTCCCGATCTCATTCTTTCTCTCTCTTTTTTCTCTCTCTCTCTATCTCACCCCCTCTCATTCTAAGTTCTCCCTCCTTTCTTTCTCTTTCACTCCTTTGCACACCCAGAATAAAAAGTAGGTTATATTGTGAGTAAACTTTAAAACACGATAGAATCCTAAAAGAAATTAAAGAATTTCTTTTTCATCAAATGAGTTTTCCATTACTACATTTACATAAAGTTGGGATAACCTATGTAACATCATTGTGTGGACTTACATTTAAAGGCTGTTTGAGTTAATGATAACATTTTAAGAAAAGTTGCTGAATCGTAACGATACGGAATCATTCGTATCATATCGTATTATAACCAACTATCTGATATTAACATTTTGTATTCAACAATGATCCATCAAGTCAGTATTGGTTTATAATAATCTACAATAAAAGTCAAGACTGTGATTTATCCAGAGCTGAGATTCTTGATCTTGATGGAGTGTCTATTAAAGAAGAAAGTGAAGGAGTAGTGGTGCACAGATAGGTCCTAGTAGGAGTGGAGACATACAAACCCTACCCCGCCAATATAAGATTTAATCATTTTCGTGCCTCCATAACTATTTGGTTTCTTAGCTACGCGTGCCTGCTTGAACATAATAATGACTGCAGAGTGTTCTGACTCTACCGGGCTCAAATTTGACCCCGGGATTCCTCGACTTGAAATCAAATCTTGGTCTGACCCAAAGACGAAGGAGAAAGAACAAGTGGTGGTTAAGGGTCGATGATGCTATCCATTAGATGGGGACTGGAAGAAGATGGATGTTTAGGTGTAAACGTGAATGAATCCCTGATGAGAGAAGATGTACTAGGGAAGAAAAACTTCCTCCCCGATGCCAGAAAAGTTGTTTCCATACCGCAGGGAAGATTCTTGTCTCTTTTGAATGCGAGGTGTAAAGTGGAAACTCTTAAGATGCTGATGACGTGCCGATATTAAGAGCACGAGGTGCGAGAAGGGGGTAGCTTTTGTTCCCCTCTTTCTGTTATGGTAATATGCATGGAGGGCCTAAAGCGGGGTGAGGTGGGGTAAGGAGGCAAGCAAGGGGAAAGCCTGGTGGACAAGAGTCCAAGATAAGCGAGAAGCTCTCGATGAAAACAAAAAATAAGAACACACACGGTGCATAAAGACTCAAAAGGACGTATAACAATAGAACACCAGCTAAACGATGGTGTGACTGAGAGGGGACGAATGAAAGGGGTACAGGGATGAGGGCTGAAAACAATGGGAGGAGAGAAAAGCCTAGACGAAAATATGAACAATAACATTCCATTAGTCATTCAGAAAGCTGAGAAGGGGCAGGCTTTGAGGTAAAATGAATTTTGAAAATGGATTCTCGACCTTCATGGGTGATCCTTACTCTCAAAATAATATGTGTTTACGATGGGTGTGCCATGGCAACGTTGCATCCTTCTCTCCTTATTTTCTTCCTGCATCAGATTAGGTTCATGGTTTCACTTCCCTAGCTATAGTGAGGAACATATTTTATAACATAATTTTGTTTAAATTAATTATACCTTGTCAACAACGCTCAACAACGAAACATTAATTTCTGAAAAATAGACGAAACTTTTGAGAACCTACATAAGTCGCAAACGTATGTTTGAATATTTAAGCATTAAAGTTCAAGTGAGTCAGTTTAGTCACTATAATTATTGTATGGCTAAACAAATATCATTTGCACATGGTCATTTTCCTCATGTAGAAGGGATAGTTATTCTTTATTTAGGGGCACTTGGGGAAAGGTTACAGGCTGTTTAAATCTTACGAGATAATGACACAATGTGTATCTCCATTTATTTAAAATAAACGTGTTTCAGTATTGTTTAAGAATTATGCTTGGAAGGAAAATGATATAACCTTAATATGGATAAATCATTAGACCGTGGTTATGCTTTTTATATTCAGAATTATAGATACACACAATACATGTATCCTATTTCTTAACAGATTTTACACTTTCAGTACGATTCTAGTACCGGTATGCTCTTTGTAGAATGAACTAGTATCTAAACCAGGTTAGAAATGACTGTCCCAGACACAAGCACAATATTTACTTTTTGAACTGCTCTAACTGTTTATCTCTTACAATCCCAATCGCAGGTCTTCTAGTATTTGACAAATAAAAACAATTATTCGTTTGACTCTTGTAAATAATAGGAAAATAATCTGACTGTATTTAATGAACCAACTTCGCTAACTGTTCGGCAAATAGAACAAAACATATTAGCTTTGTTCGAACTTCGGTCTGTTTTTTTTTCTTCTTCTCCCCATTTGCATTCTCTGTAAACCCAAACATTTAGATGTTTTGCAAATAGGTTCGGGCTGGAAGAAAATCATTTTGTGTACCATAGACCGTGGGTAATACCTTCGACCGTGTTTACAAACAGGCTTCGTGTATTAACGTAGCATTCCATGGGAGGGAGGGCGGAGTAAAGGGTATGATGATGATGGAGGGGGGAAAGATTTGAGCTGGAATATTTTGGACGTCGAGGAATTCGTGAATTCTGAGCTGAAATCGGATTTGTTGAAGGGGCTAATCGAGGTTGGTGATGTGATGTGAGCAGACCATCCCCTTACTTGAGGCCTGGTCACGATCGAATCAAACTCATACAGACTGTCTGGCGATGGGACATTAGACTGGGATGGATGGATGAGGGGAAGGAGTAAAACAAGACTGAAATCCTGTTTAAACTAGAGGATGATTTCATAGCAACCCCGTCGGTTGGCCGTCTATCTGCTCTTCATCCTTTCTTCTCCCGTCTCTCTGCCATTCTCTCAGTCACTCTCTTTCCTCCTCCCTCGCAATGATGATGTAGGCAAGCTGAAGACGATATGTCAATACACTTAACCCACCAAAGCTGTATTCTGACCGATGTTAATATGAACTACACTCTCACGCTGCAATATAAATCAGTTGTAGATGATGTGCCCTAAAACTTAGGGCTTCTTTTATTTTCAAATGATCAATAAACAGATCTCAAACATAAATTTACTTAATTGCTTGCAGACACAACACTTCTTCGGGCAGGCAATTGCTTAGTAAAGTCAATATGGGAACCCTGAACTTCAAATAAAAATGTAATATATAACAGAGTGTGTCATTTATTCTGCCGGTGACTATGTTAAATATCAGAGCGGCTCAATGTTTGTAAACCCTTGGCCAGCCAGTCTCAAAGTACATCCCCCATCTCAGGATGATATAGTTTACGCGTTGAACGCCGAATAGAGCGGACTCATTCCCTCCAAACTTTACCATTTTCTATCCGCCATGACTGAAAATATTTCAGAAACCATGGGAATGAGATTATAACGATTCAACGAACATTGCGAGAAGTTTGAGATGAGATACCAGTGAGTAGGGTAGCACTGGCGCACTCAGGGCGTGGCTGGATTGGCGCCACCCTGAGGTGCGATGTGGGTGCAGCTCTGTGTTTTGGAGGGTTAATAATGCGTGGTGGTGATGGCAGCATGGTGTTTATGATGGATCACCGTATGGGGGAGACAGACGACCAAAGGTTATCGCGATACCACGAAAAAAGCGCGCCAAGAATGAAAGAATTGGAAGACACAATGGGGTCAAAGGTAAGATAATTGATTCGTCACACCGACAAGTCATGAAGATAAATTTCATTGTTTGCATGAATTTGCAAAGTTATGTTGTTGGGTGTTCTTTTTAACTTCATCAAATGACAAGGGTTTAATACGCTTTAGATTTTGGTATAGCCATTTGTTAAAAATGAAAAACTGTAGATGATTGTTGACAATAAAAATCATATTTACTAGTAAATGCATATATCTGTATATCATATTGTGAAATAAATTTATGGATTGTCTTTGAACCATCTTTAACATACTTGGAATCATGCATTGGTAAGGAGAAAAACTTTAATTCAAAATCACTTTTTGAAATAAGGTGTTTGAAAGCTGCAGGAATTATGACAGTTAAACTTGGAAACCACTGGAATCTTATCATCACCATCACCACCACCGTCATCTACAGACACCGTCTTTGTTATCACCATTACAAACGTCTTTATCGTTATCATCTTCACAATGATCATTGTCAATATCTTGAAATAAGTTTACTTGTCTTTGTCATTTTCCTTGTTTTGATGTAAAATCACTTTAAAAAACCACCAACAGAAACAACAACACCAACTTATGACATAATGACGTATTCACTTCATATAATTACATTTTATAATATAAGCCCCATTTCTTTCTTCTAGGTTTTAACAACCAAAGTATCATTTTATATGGAGTAAAGTCAAAATAACATTTAAAGAAATAATTTCTCGGTAATGCATTTTTTTTACTCAGCTGGTTAAAAGATGCTTTCACATACTATGTGGATGGCATGCGTGTAATGTGTACAACTATATTTAATTTGTCAAATTGCAAATCAATGAATTGCTGATTCGTTTGATGAGTATAGCAGTGTACTTTTCTTCGAATCAAGCCGGAGAGCCGGAAAAAGCTAGCCGATATATCTGGGATGGGAAAGTGGACCAGGTGTGAACATGTAATTAAATATCTTTGATCGAAATGAACTATTTGAGGTTTTTAAACGACGAAATGCAATTGCTCCGGGTTCCATTCCAGCTCTACAACACACGAACCGTGCATCAACTCCCGTTACCTACATAAGTACTCGAAACACGTGTAAAACGGCAAATAGCTCCGGGCCTATTACAAAACCTGCGCTGTAACCTCACCGCGTTAAAGCCCTAAGAAAGAAAAAAAAGAAAAAGGGGGAATATAATTCTTTACTGCCCCAATAAAACTTGCCTTTATGATTTTGATATCCGCGTGTGATGAAATAGATGCCAAAAGGGCAGAATCGTGTGATGAAATCATGATTACATCTGCGATTGCATTGACTACGTCACTAGATGTATAATATAAACTATTTTTATTATTTGGCAAGAGCATATTTTGTATTTTTTTTCTTTTTTGTTGGTTAAAGGTCATGCAATCATTTCAGTTTCATTTAAAATAGGACCATATATGTCGGATTCGATTGAAAATACCGGATTGTAAACTTACAACTTAAGGCGTAATACATTTGAGTATTTCTTAGGGTCGTCTTAGCGTAAATGACATCATTTTTATTCATCTTTACAAATATAAATGGAAGTTAGCATCGAATATTAAGTGGTTTGTTTTATTAGCATCGAGTATAGTGTAGTTCCTGAAGATGAATAATAATGCAAATGATATTTCAATATATTCAAATATTGCATTTGGCAGACCATTAGCTTATCGTCATAATAATGTTGGCCTGTCCTGTGACACAATCATATCTATTTCTTTTGGTCAATTATTGACAGTTTAATATCTGTAGTTCTTTGGTAAACAAAATGACATATCCAGATAATCATAACAGTGAGTTATAGTCAACTGAATGTCACAAAATAATAATGGATAACTATAATTTAATACTAATTGCCAATACATTATTCACTCAATAGCTAACATAAAGTTAACCGAATTTATACAGGTGTGTATTTGACCTTTTTTCACAAAAACATTGATTTATCAATAGTAATGTTGAATGACGTATAGTGACAGTAACATGGAAACATGGTACACGAATTTACATATCAACTGTAGTCATTCGTCGTTTTTTCCTATTTCAAACATCACCTTTAATTTTAAAACCTCCCTTTTAAGGAAATAAATTGCTATTTTAGTAATAAGTCATCATCAATTTTGTTTATTTATTTATTTTATTTATTTATTTTTTTTTTTTTTTTGGGGGGGTCCATTCCATTGGCCCCCCACAGAAATAAAATATTTAGAAAAATAGCTCAAGGTTCATCGATGATAAACATGAAATAACCTTTTTCTACGTTGCATCTCTTTAAAAACTTCTTAATTATTCCAACAAGTTCAATAAATCAAAGATGGAACTAAACATCAAAGGCACCGAATAAAAGCTAATCGATCCTAATGAAGATTAGTTGAACAATATTGAGATTTTACATGAGCTTATGAATCATTCTCTTAGGTAGATGCACATTCAAAGCCTTGTAAGGCCACCGCCTGTGTATGGGATTCAATGGCGTTTTGTTCACGCCATATCACGCCATTAATACGTTTCACAACCTGTACTTAAGAGTAGGCTTAGAGATGTAACGGGGCTCAACGGTATATCTTGCTCAATACACCCCGCGTAGTATCAAAAACATTAAAATGTGAACAGAGTTCATTCAACTTTATTCAATTAATCCTTGTATATATCAATGAGACATTCTACCCAGGACTGATTCTACCTTGCGTGAAAGACCGATTTCTTTATTTCTTCTCGCTCTATTTTATGTTTTACGATCTTGTGTCATGATAGTAAAACGCCCTATCAAGCCGCGATCCGCGCTGTTTGGCGAGTAGCGGGCGGCAGGCCAAAGACCACGCCGACACAATGGGCGTATAATCTCGCGGTGAGGTGGTATATTTACGACTTGCTTTCTAGTAGCACAACATATGTTGCGTTTATTTTTTATCTCAGAAAACAGAACATTGTCGTGTAGCAGCCAGATAATTTCCTGGAACAGACATTGGGAAAATTTGTTGAAAATTTAAACTCTATTGAAGAAAACCTACACCAAATTCACCATGCGCGAGCTGAGGCAAAGTCATGCCAAAATTCAGGGCGATTCCCCCAAATGCGTATTCGTCAATACTGAAATATATAGTACCTTTATTTCGTGAAATTTTTAGATGGTTTGTGTTTTCTAGTGTTTTAGTTCACTCTTTTTCGTTCAACAATATCACATGAAAAACATGAAAAAATGAAAAGGCCCACTAACTCTATGTAGTTTTTTTTTGTTAATTACCCTTTTACGTATGTTACATAAGAAAAATAAAAAGGTTATATACCTGGACCGGTAGGTAAAGTCCCCACCCCCTCTTTTTAAACGGCTCTATAAAAAAGTACCTGTCCCCATAAAAAAGCGCTAAAATGTATTCATATTGAAATTAATTACTTAACATATCTACTTGCAAGCAGTGAAAATTATCATTATTACGTCTCATAGTATCCAATGATAATAAACGTGTAACCCATGTCTGATTAATGACCTCGGAAGACGTTCATCACAACTACAAAGTCATAATGAGACTAGAATTAATTGTCATTATGAAGTCATCAAATTATTGAAGAATATCATTGAGGGCCTCGAGTAGAGTCATTGGGTAGAAAGCGAAACAAAATCCATCGCCTGACAGCCAATCCTCTCTCATACCAAGCAGGTGCACGTCTACAAAAACAGGTGAGAACAAAAACTGGAGAAGAAGAAAGAAAAAAGGAAAAATACAAAAAGCTTTTAGTTTCGAAGAGGAAAATGTATTTTCTTCGAGCATAGTGATAATATGTCGGATGCAGAACGCCATAAAGGTATACGTTGCGATCCTATGGCATGCGCTTCCTCGCAATGACTAAATTCCTATTGTTATCCGGGAATCGGAGACATAAATTGATGGATGGTTTTCAAACGTGGGTCTATGAAAACCGATTTTGACTTCTATCACCGCAATAACATTTACAACACGGCTTAACCTCTGCTACTACTTAATGACTACAATGAAATATGATAGATAAAAGAGGACTTCTCAACCACTCCTTCCTATGTTTATATTCTTGTTTTGTTGTCAGCTATTCAATATTCTATTTTATTGTGAAAATACGAGTCTGTCAAAACTATCACGTCAGAAATAAAATGGGATATGCAATGCAATAGCTCTTGCTTACGTCAGAGGATATAGAATATAATAGAATGGTGGAAATAGCAATTACTATTAATGGGATGGTGAATATCATTTTCAGCAATCCTTTACTTTCGTCACTATGACGTCTTTTTCATTCAGACTCGGTGCTTTATTTGTCAAGTTAGTAGGACACTGCATCGTAGGTTAACTATGACGATATATACGCAGGCAATTTTTTTTTTACCCAAAGCCATTTGGTAGTAATATATATTGAAACCAAAGCAGACGCCAAATTGTGTAGCGATAGAGATGGGGTATATTCAGCGATAGATGAGTGGGCTGAGTGAAATTAACATCATTTTTTTTCATCTTTACACATTCCTTACATTCGTTCAATTAAATATCGTTGGTAATTTTTACAAGATTCGTTGGAACGTGGCGTATGAAACATAAAAACTAAAGCACTTGTATTTCAAGGCAAAATATTTTCTATTTTACCATGTTTACTTCATTAAAAAATCACTGTTTTTTTGCAAACAATCAATCCTACATAATGTCATTTATGTTTATACACATGATTTATTCATAAGAAACTAGTTTGAATATCAATTTCAAATATTTGATTTTCTGACAATGCCATATTTCATTAAGGTACAAATGTCGCTTGAATTAGGAACATATTCTAAAAAATCAAAACAAGTTTTGGGCAAGTCTGTTTTCCTGATTAAATATGAAAATTTGTCGAGAGATTCACACGAAATAAAATTAATCTAGAAGTAGGATCATAGCGGAGCCTAAAACATAAACGAACAGGAGGGCCGCCTCAATCAACTATTGAAAATTAAAAAATAGAAAGAAAAAGAAAGAAAAGAAAA